GGCTTGCTCGTAACACGCTCAGCAGCAAGCGTGCGGGGCTCAGCCTTTGCAGGTGTGAACTGGTGCTGAACCAGTGGCACCGGTGGAGAACTGGGCGCAGCCAGAGGAGCTGTTCTGGGCAAGAGCCCACAAGGCTGGGGGATGTGGGGGGCCCGGCCCCGCGGCTGGCTGCTGCTGGGGCCACCAGTAACTGTCCCTTGCTGTTCTCTTCCAGAGCAGGGTGAAGCTGCCCAGTCACACTGAAGTAAGGACATGGCTCTTCTGCTCCCCACTTGGCTCTGGTCCCTCCTCTTGCCTCCTCCCTGTCCCTTGTCCCATGTGCTGCGGGGTGTGTGGGGGTCCCAGCTCAGTGCAGTGTTCCATTGTGCTCTGTCTGGGAGCCACCAGTGTCCCCAGCTCCCAGCCTGTTCACCAGCTGGGGGAGATGGGGACAGCAAGTGAATGGGACACAACCTGGGGAGTGAAGGGGGCACAAATGGTTAGCGGGAGGGCGTACAGAGTAAGAGCATGGGGGGACCAGACCCCTGCAGAAGGTAATGATTAGTGGGATAGATGCTGGGGTTTGGGAAGGACTGGAGCTATGGGTGCTGGGGGAAGGAGGTGGGAATCGCTGGTTCTGCCCCACGGGGCCCCTGTTTATCCAGTTGCAAGTTGCACACTGGAGGGCTCGAGAAGGGGAGCTTGTGCTCAGCCCAGTAAGCAGGCACTAGACCAGAGAAGTGAGCAGGATCTGCCCATGCCATGGGGCTGCGTCTCTAGGAGCTGTGCCAGTGGGCCCCATGGAATGGCTTCATGGCCTCTGCCCATGGGGGTGGCATGGCACAGGGCAGGTGAAGGCAGCCAGGGGCTCCCATCTGCCGTGTTCCTGGGGTGCACAGGGGCTGGGAAACATCCCTGGGGTTGGGACTGGGCAGGGGTCTGGGTAGCAGGGGGGTGTTTGGCTTGGCTGCCAGCACCTTGGGGTACAGGGGGATCTTGTCACATCCTCCCTGTGCCCACTGTCCCCCTGCATTCACTCTCTGTTCCCCAGTGTCATACAACTGTCTGAGCGGTGCCATTGATGTGCCGTGCTGGGCTTTGCTGGATGCAGAAGTAGGTGCTTGGGCACCACAGGAAGCAGGATGGGACCCTTGGGCCAAGCTGAGCAGGGTGCGAGTTCCCTGATGCCACAGCGATGTCCTGCCCTGGTGTCCCCAAGTCCCAAGCCACCCACATGTAGTGAGAACCCAGTGGCTGGGATGTGCACCCACATCACTGTGCCCAGTAGCCCTTGGGGCTCTCCAGGGAGCGTTTCTTCATCCCCCTGGAGCTTGGGGGAGCCCCCAGAGCTGCAGCAAGCTCCTGGCACAATGTGCCAGCCTGGCCATGGCACCCCCAGCTCAGGCGCTCACCAGGGCTGTTCCTGTCTCTGTTCTCTGCAGGGCACGCAGATGATTTTCAACGCAGCCAAGGAGCTGGGGCAGCTCTCCAAGCTGAAGGTGAGGGCTGGGAGGCTGGGCTGGGGGCAGGCGGTCTGTTCTCCTCTCTGTGCTAAGGCTGGCACTGGCACTGTTGCAAGGGCCCCACCAGTGCTCATTTGCTGGCATGGTTGGGGCAAGGGGAATGGGGGCCTGGTTCCATACTGAGAGCAGGATTCATGCCCTGCAGGACCACATGGTGCGGGAGGAAGCCAAGAGCCTGACCCCAAAGCAATGTGCAGTGGTGGAGCTGGCGCTGGACACTATCAAGGTGAGGGTGTTCTGGGGAACATAGGGGTGCCCCTCAGGGCTTTAGCCCTGGAAGGGCACTGGGGGAGCTCTAGCAGAGCTGCTGAGGACCCCAAGGCCATTCTCCGTCCTCCAGCAATACTTCCATGCCGGTGGCGTAGGGCTGAAGAAGACATTCCTGGAGAAGAGCCCTGACTTGCAGTCGCTGCGCTACGCCCTGTCCCTCTACACGCAGGCTACTGACCTCCTCATCAAAACCTTCGTGCAGACCCAGGCTTCGCAGGGTATGATGCACTGCCCTGCCCCCCCGACCCGGGCCCCCTCTCCCCATACATGTGGTTGGTTGCCCCATTGCCAGGTCCCTGTGTCACAGTGGGGTTGGGGGGTTCCAGCTAGGCTCATGGAGGGGTGGGAGGGATGGATGGGGAGGGAAGGGCTTCTTGCTCCCACAGTTTGCAGGTGAAGAGGGACCACGGGTGCCCAGAAGCAGCCTGGTACCTCCAAGTTCCCCATCAGCAAGAACAGTGCATCCCCAGTGCCAAGGCATGGCTGGGCTGGCACAGAAATGGGGCCCATGGGTAGGAGAGGTCACGCTCTGGTCCCTGTCACCCAGTACTGACACCTCTGGTCCAGTGCTGCCTTGGAGCTGCCAGTCTTGGCCAAACAGTGACAGCCTGGTCTCAGATGCTGTGCCAGAGCCTGTCCTGGGCATGCTGGTTGCCCCACCATGATTTGGGATCTGTCTAGGATGCCAGGCACCTCTCAGGCACTGCCCTTGCCCCACAGCCATGTGGGGCAGGGTGCTGGGCACCCTCTGGGGCAGGACTCCACCTCATCTCTATATGCTGCTCTTTATTTTGTCCCTTGCCTGCTTGAGGAGGTGACAGAAATGCCCTGTTGCAGTCGTGGGCCATTGTACAGTGTCCCAGCCAGGCTTGTGTCTGTGTCCTCAGGGAGTGGGAAGTGTATTTGCTGTCTGTGCGTTTCCTGCAAGGGACATCTGTCCTGTCTGTGCCTCCTGTGCCAGCTGTGTCGGTGGGGTGGGCTTGACTCTGGTTGGTGCCAGCACTCCTGGGTGCAGCCTGGCCCCAGGACTCAGAGCCGGCTGGTGCCCGGTACTCCTGTGTTGCTGCAGTGTGGTCCAGATGCTCGGCTGCTCATCTGTCTGTGAGATCTGATCTCTTTCTCTCTGTTTTCTCCCCCCCTCCTTCACTGTTCTCATCCCCCACACACATCGTCTCCTTCCTTCTCTCTTCATCTACTCTGTGCCGTGTCTCTGTCTCTTTCTCTCTCCTTCCCACTAGTCCATGGTGGGAAAGGTATTAGGTTTACCCTTAGTGAAGAAATTTATCCTGAGAAGGGTACGTGTGCTGCTTGCCCGCCCCTGCACCCGCCTGCCACCGGCCTGGGCTAGTAACAGTCCTGGCACTGTGGGCTGGGGTGGCCACGAGCCCCATCCCAGCACTGCCAGCCTTGGGCGCCCTTCGTGTGGCCAGAGCTGGACCCTCTGCCCACAGACTCCCACTCCCAGGGCTGTTTTGGGCTGAATTTAGAGGAGCTGTGCTCAGCTGTATTGGCACCCCCACCCTCCACCCTCCCCGTACCAGGTTAGGTCTGGGCACCCTGCATTGTCCCCAGTGCTGCTGCCTGGGGGTGGGAACCTGCCCTGACCTCCCTGCAAGCTGGGAGCTGTCCCCTTGGGACATGTGGCCCCAGGGGAGGCCATGACCGTGCCCATGTCCCCCATCCCCTCCACCCTGCTGCCAGAAGGACCATTACTAGCCTTGCTCCGGTGCGCTCTGCCCGCCTGCTCCAGGGCGTGAGGAATGAGCCCAGCTCCATGGGCCCTGCTTGGCCTCCTTGGCACCCAGAGGGGCCAGGACTGCACCCCATGCTTGGCCTCCTGTACCCAGACACCCAGTCCTTGCCCGCCATCACCTCCATCTCGGCTCAGCATGCGGCGCTGCCTGTGGGGATGGGGTGCCGGGCTTGGTGGAGGATGAGGGTGGATGGAAAGGAAAGCGTGCCATCAGCACCCCACACGGCCTGGCATCCTCCTGCTGGGAGCCATGCGGTGACACGTGGGGATGCGTCCTCCTTCCCACTGTTACTTCTACCCTGGGAGCTTTCTGCTGAGCTCGGTTTGATCTCCTCGGCCCCGTCTGACCCACAGACCCCGTCCCTCTGCCTTGCACCCCCTCCTTCACCCATGAGTGCATGCACGGCTCCTGGAGGGGAGGGGGTGCGCTGGGCTGGTGGTCGCAGGTCACCTGAGTTCCCCAGGGATGGAGGGGACAGAGGAGGGGGCAGGTCAGCCCCGAACCCTGGCAGGGACAAGGATGGCCCGTGGGAGGGAGGGGACAGAGGAGGGGGCAGGTCAGCCCCGAACCCTGGCAGGGCCATGGCTGCCCTGTGGCACAAGGGCCAGGCCAGGTCCCTTCTGCCCAGTGCTGTGCCCATACTCACATACATGCATGGACCTCTCACAGCACCCCCTGCCCTGTGCTTATAGGAGGCGGAGCAGGGCTACTGTCCTGTGCCCCATCCCACCCAGACACCTCAGCCCCTGCCTGGGCAAGTAGGGGTTCACTGGGTCCTGCTGATGTGAGGTGGGATGACAGAGAGCCAGCCTGGTGCTGGGATTATCCTGCCATGCCCCAGCCCCGCCTGGTGCCAGCCCCAGCCATCCATGGCAGTTGCTTCACCCATGCTGCTGTCCCCAGGACCCTTTAGCAGAGACCACATCGGGCCAAGTCCTGCTGCCCACCCCTTTCTGCTCCGTAGTGGGTGACCTGCCTCCTCCAG